TTCTCACTTCTCCTTCTCCTTCTCCTCCTTCTTCTCCTCCTCCTCCTCCTCCTTCTCCTCCTCGTCCCCCTCCCCCGTGCGCACGGCACGCCTCTTCCGCCTCATTCGCGAACCGGTCATTAAAGGTAGGTATTTCTGGACTTCCAGATCCCAGTCTGCTGCGGGCGCCTCCCACTTCAGGAGTCGAGCGCTTTTTCCCTCCCCTCCTCGGGGGGCGGGCGGAGGCGCAGTCCACTTCCAGCGCCTGCCTGCTTCATGTTTCTACCTGCATCTTCCGACCGACGGGTACCCTTTGTAGTAATACTGGTCGAGGAAGCCGTCTCGGGCGAGGGCGTCATTTCGAAAGCGTGTCGGGCTCAATCCGTGTAACTGCCGGGAGCTTTTAGAACGAATGGCGCGGCGCTAGTGCGGAAACCACAGTTTGAAAACCACGGTCTCATGCGAAACGTCCAGCCCGGCCTGCGCCTGGTAGTCTGACAGGTAGGAGTTGTCTAGAAGGAGGGATGTGGGGGAGGAGGAGGATGAGGACGAATAGTTGTTGTTCCCACCAGTCGTTGTGCCTTTCAGGCTTGACTGATCAACGCTAGTTTCCCTCTGGCCCACCATCCCCCCGTTGCACCATCAGAGGTCACGCCCCCGTAGAAGAGTCGTGAACTAGTGAGACTGGAAGACGAGTAGCAGCACGAGGACGAAAAGGGATAGGGATGATGGAGGATGGGTGGCCCAGGAACCTCCCAGAGCTGCTTAGATCCCTCAGAGCCTCTAGGAGTCTTAGGGCAATCCCAACCTCCCAAGCCCTCCCCCCCCCCCTTCCCTTTCCCTGGGGCAGTCGAAGGGGGGTGGAAGGGCGACCCAGCTCCCTGCGCAGCCGGTTTCGGCTCGAGGTCGAGGTCGCTTTCCGCCGCCACGGGCACATGACCTGAGCCAATCTCGGCCTGGCACAGGGTTAAGAACAGTTGCGATGGGCACTCCTGGCATGAACACGCAGCAGTCCATGATGCTGGAGATGATGCAGCAGCGGATGATGCAGGGCGGCGGGCCGGGCGGCGGCTCGATGCCTGGATGTGGAGGACGACGGGCGGACAGCAAGCTGATAAGATTAGAGAGTCGGCCCTCGGCACAGCTTTCGGAGGACCCCAGGGCGGTGAGGGAGAGGGAGGCAGGGGGAGAAGGGGGCGGGAGGGGGGAAGCTCGAAAAAGAAAATCAGCAGCAATGCCCTAAACTTCCGGAGGTCCGCGCGGACCTCTTGCATCGGCGCTGGACTCCCACTCCCTGGCGGCGACTCCGGCGCCTCCCCTGGCGCGCCTCGCGCTTCCCAGGGAGGGGACGGGGGTCCAGCGCCGATCCCCAAGAGAGCGCCGTGAACCTCCGAACGCGCGTGTTCGTGTGTGTGTGTGTTGGGTACAGCACCAGCTGGCCGCCCCGGCCGCTCCGCAGCTGCTCCTGCCGCGTGAGCGCCCTCCCTCCCCCTTGCTCGCCCCGCGGCCGCCCCCTTTCCGCCCTTCTTTCTCGCGCCTGCCGCCGAGCAGGCAGCGGTGCCGCTGCCCGGCGTGCCCGAACGCGCGCGCGGACTGCCTCTACCGTGCTGCGACGTTTGAACATGATGTCTGTGTGTGTGTGTGTGTGTGTGTGTCTGTGTGTGTGCGTGCGTGCGTGCGTGCGTGCGTGCGTGCGTGCGTGCGCGCGTGTGTGTGTGTGTGTGTGTGTGTGTGTGAACGTGTGTGAACGTGTGTGTGTGTGTGTGTGTGAACGTGTGTGTGTGTGTGTGTGTGAACGTGTGTGTGTGTGTGGGTGTGTGTGTGAACGTGTGGGTGTGTGTGTGTGTGTGTGTGGTGTGTGTGTGTGAACGTGTGTGTGTGTGTGTGTGTGTCTGAACGTGTGTGTGTGTGTGTGTGAACGTGTGTGTGTGTGTATGTTTTTTTGTGTGTGTGTATGTGTGTGTGTGTGAATGTGTTTGTGTGTGTGCGTGTGCGTGTGCGTGTGCGTGTGCGTGTGCGTGCGTGTGTGCGTGCGCGCGCGCGTGTGTGTGTGTGTGCGTTTGGGGAGAAGAGATGAGGGCCCGAGGGGCCGCCGAAGGGCCCGAGGCAGCGGCATGCCGTCGAAGGCCTGCCGAGGGGGCCGCCAAGATTCAGGCAGGCCCAGAATCGAATCGACAAGGCGGGCGGGCGGTCGAAGGGAATCGCATCGGCAGAAATCGGCAGACAAGCCGGGAGAAGTCGAAACGGGGGAGGACGGGTCGACTAGACGTAAGAGTGGCCCTTCGCTGGAGTGGCCTTCGGTGCGGGTCCATTGGGGCCCCCCGATCGCCGAACGCGACGCGGTAGTGGCGTCTTGCGCGCCCGGGTTGGGCCCCCCCGCGGCCCCCCAAGAGCCGCGCAGCACAGGTCACTCTTGGCTGGGGTCACTCTTGCGTGCAGCCGAGGATGGGCCTGGTCCAGACCAAGTGAGCACCCTTGGTCGAATCAGGACTCCAGCAGGCTCCGTAGCCGTTCCGGCTCGAGGCCGCTCTGGCTCCGCCTCAGGCAGGGCCGCGGCGGCGCGCGCGCGCGTTGCGCGCCAGATGTACCCTACCCGGTCCATTCGGGGGTTGCCCGGAGTGTGCCCGGCCGAAGGTGTCCCCGGGGTTTTCGGGGTCAGAGCGCCAGATCTTGCAGGATCCTGCAGTGCCAGGGTGCACCGGCCCGGGCTCGGGTGCAGGATCCTGCAGGATCCTGCAAGGTCCTGCAACGCCTGATTGACCCAGGTCTGGATTGACCTGGGTCAGTAGATGCCCTAGGTTTAAGTCGGTCGTGTTACTCTACAGGAGGAATATTCGAAAATAGTCCAAGAATAGTCTGGGGATGATTTTTCTAATATTTTCGAATACTTTGGAGCATTTGTTGTCACTTTTCTCTTTTTCGTCCAAAATCCGTCTCTAGGAGGACACGCCCGACCTAACCCTAGGTTTCCAAGGGGGTCCTGCGGCCTCCAGAGAGCACCCGCCACGAGGCCCCAGAGAGCTCAAGCAGACCGGGGAGTGTTTATTCTTTTGATTTCTTGGCCCTGCGCTGGGAGCTCGAAAGCGTGAAAGGCAAAAGTCTAGACCTCCTAGATGGGGTCCCAGTAGATGGGGTCGGAGGATCGCGCCGCATCGCCGATGCATCGCCGATGCGGCTCGATGCGGAGCCCGATTTGCTTCACGCCGACGTCGCCGATGCACCGCCGACGTCGACGATGCATCGCCAGTGCATCGCCGATGCATCGCCGATGCATCGCCGATGTATCGCCGATGCGGCGCGATCCTCCGACACCATCTGCTCCGACCCTATCCAGGAGGCCTCTGAAAAGGGGGGGTCTGCTCGATGGCAACCATCGCCGCCGCGCGGCTGAGACAAAGCATGCCCGCAACAAGGGCGCACAGCACAGTCGAAGGATGAACTCTCTCCCCTGTCTGAGGGGGCTCCATAGAGGAGCGGAATCCTGGAGACACCTTGGGCCAGGGACACCTCCAGCACCCCCGGGTCCATGTGAGCCGCTGAGGTCAGGAGGGGGAAAACACACAGACACCATTCATCGTCAATCCCCAGGAAACTAATATGGGAGATATGCGAAATGAGGGGAAGACGAAAAGCCAGAACATATGGGAACATGTGGGGAATCCTTGGATTTTTGTGTCTGCTTCTCTGAGGCGTTCTAGAAAGGGCCTTGCCTTCGAGGATCGAAGGAGTTGCCATCTCCTCCGCGGCGGAAGGCGGCGGAAGGGTCGGCGGAAGTCGTGCGAGAGGCCGCCTCCGCCGGCGGAGGGCCGGCGGAAGGCCGGCGGAGGGCGGCGGAAGGAAGAGGTGTGCCCCCGGGAGATGAGAACGTTTTTGGGTTCGGGGCTTCCGGGAGGGAAAAAAGCACAGACACCATTCCTCGTCGACCCCCAGGGAGGCATGAGGAACTTGGCTGCCCTGGTACGCCCGTGTTGAGATACGCAACACGCACCGTGCTCAAAACGTGCGTGCCGATACGCTGCGTGTTGGCGCCACGTGTTGGCCCACGTTTTGGCGAGCGCATCGCGTCAGACCTACGTTTTCAGTCTACGTGTGGAGCTCCGCATCGATACGCTGCGTGTTGCGTGCTGCGTATCGGGGCAGCTAAGATGGGGAAACATGGGAAGTGGAGGGCAGGTTTCCGAAGTCGCCCCTCCACGAGGCGCGGACCGCCATGGCGGCGGGCTGGCTCCCTGGGCTCCTCGCCGCTGGGGCGCTCCTCGGCGGCCCGGCGGCGGCGCTGCGGCCCGGCGGGCCGCCGGCGCCCCCGCGCGTGGCCGTGCTCGTGGCGGGCACCCCCGACCGCATGCTGCTCGCGCCGCTGGTCGAGAACGTCATCACCAGGAGGGCGAAGGCTGCATCAGTTTGGACGCAACTCCTGGGAGGTCGAATTCTGATCTTGCCCCGGTCCGAAGTTCGGGTCAGTCCGGCTGAATCCCGCTTAGTCCCGCTTAATCCTGCTAAATCCGGCTTAATCCGAGGCCCACTCCGGCGTAACAGTCCCGCGATGTGGCTTAATCCGCCGCTTTAATCTTTCCGACGAACACCTCCCAGCAGTTGCTTCCTAACATCAGCACGCGTCGGCGGCGAGCGATGGTGGGCGGAAGCGAGAAGGGGGGCGGGCCTCCTCTTCGGAAGGCTCGGAAGTCTTCCCCCTGGCCCCGAGGGCAGACAGCAGCTTCTCTGGAGGCGCGAGGGCTTTCGAGAAGTCCCGCCGCCTTCTGAGAAGGCCTTTTCCTTCTCATCTTCCTCCTCTCGCTCGCCGCCGAAAACGTGGGCCTTCGGAGCGCTCCGGGCAGATTTCTCCTGGGTCGGCGCTGGCCCTTCCCCTCCCTGGCGGCGCCTCTGGCGCCGTCCCCGGCGCGCGCTCCGCGCGCCTGGATGGGGAACCCGGCGCCGATCCAAGGAATCCGCGCGGAGCTTTATGATGTTCTCATGCTCCAGCCCACTTGGGCCTTGACCACCAGAAAGAATTTCGAGCACCGAGAGGAGTACCGAAACTGGAGGGTTTTCACGTGTCGGGCCCCGGGAGGCGATACTCGTTCGACACTGTTTCGATACTCTTCTGGGTGCTCGAAATCACTTCTGGGATGTAGTCCTCGAGTGCGACGGGGACAACATACACGCGGAGCTCCGAACGCCAGTGTCTGTGCAGCTCTCTCTCTTCCTCGCCGTCGCCCCCTACGCGGCCCGTGGCTACGGGCTCGACCTCTTCCTGTCGCTGGCCCCCTCTGATGGGTCTGTTTTCCAACACCACCACCATGAGTTGGAGGGGGAGGGGGTCCTCCTCCTCCTCCTCCTCCTCCTCCTCCTCCTCCTCCTCCTCCTCCTGCTCCTCCTCGTCCTCCTCCTCCTCTTCGTTCGTTGTCCTCCTCCTCCTCCTCCTCCTCCTCCTCCTCCTCTTCCCCCTCCAATTTCTGGTGGTGGTGGTGGTGGTGGAAAACCGGCCCGTCACCCTCCCCGCCGCTCGACGGGAACAGCACCCGCAGGGCCTTCCACCACCCGGAGCGTCACGCGGGCCGCTTCGTGGTCGACCCCAGGCTCGCGGGCCTGCGGGAGACGCGCCACGGCTTCGAGGCGGGCCTCCTGAAGGCCAGCTGCCGCCTCGCGGCGGCGGCCGGCGCCACCACGTGCCAGGCCGAAGTCGGGCACGTCCCTCTGTCTACAGGAGGAAGACTCAAAAATCTTCTAACAATCCTATGGTGACGATGTTGTTGTTGTTGCTGCTGTTTTTTGGGGGGCATTTCTTGAATACATCTATATCTATATATATATATATATAGATATGATTTGCTGCCCGAAATTCGCCTGTGGGGGGGACATGCCCGACCTAACGCCAGGGCGGCGTGGAGCCCGACGGGCTGGAGCTGACGGAGCGGGTCAACGACAGTGCGCACCGGCGGATGATCATCGAGTACAGCCCGTTGCGGACGCTGGCCGGGGTGTCCCTGCTCCGGAGGTGGCGGTCGCTGAGCAGCATGTGGCAGCAGGCCAAGGCCCTGGAGGAGAGCGAGGGCTTCTTGTACGCCGAGGTCGTCAACGTTCGCGACGACAGCTATTGGATTGCCCCTCACAGCCCCTCGGTCGCGGACTTCCTGGAGGACCCCAAGATGATCAAGGTGATCCCCTGCATGGATTTCCACGGCATCAACGACAAGGTGGTGCACATGGGCAGGGATGCCGCCGACGTGATGATGGGCGCTTATGAGGCGTGGATGCAGGGCAGCGAGGCGATCCTGGCCAACACCCGCAACGCGGAGGAGTTTTGGTACAGGATGGCCGTCTCCCGCGGCCTGAGCATCCAGACGCAGACAACGCCGCAGGCCTTGGCCGCGTTCACGGACGTGGGCCTCCCCTGCTTCCGGAAGCAGAAAAGCCACACCTGGCTCCGCGAGCAGTTTGGCGAAGAGGCCCTGGGCCTAGGCGCCTGCTTCGGCGACGGCGACGCCAACGGCGCCATGGCAGAGCTGTTTTACGCGTTCAACTGCGACGACATGAACCCGGTCTTCTACAGCCAGATCTCTGCTCTGAGCGCAGGGGTACTCCACAGCGCCATCAAGCAGCTGGCGCGGCAGGACAGGAACCCGGTCATCGTCACCTTCGCGGACTCCGAGGCGGGACCCCTGGTGCAGAACATGGTGTTCAGCCTCCGTGCCGCGGGCGAGCGGTCAGGCGTCCTCGTCGTTGGTGTTGCTCCCGGTGCGTGCAGGTCCGTGGACGCCGACGGACTGCCAAATGTCGCTTGCGTCGTCGTGCCGCCAGTGGCACAGACGGACGACGACGACGAGAGGCCCGTGGAGGCGATCGACAGCGAGACGGTGGACGCGCGGGAATCGGCCATTCATCGGCATGCGGTGCTCACGACCGTCGTGGCCAGTGGGCTGACTCAGGGCGTGCTGTACTGCGAGCCGAGCGTTGTCGTCCTGCGGCCGCTGGTGGCAGCGTTCCGCGACCGCCTGGGCACTGGTCGTATTCAGGCCGTCTTTGCATTGGACGGTGCACAGCCCCAAGGCCAGTTTGCTCACGCCGGCGCGCCTGGCAGCAGCGCGGCCGACGCCGACGGTGACCGCGACCTCGACATCGACACTGGTTTGTTCTACGTGGCGGATTCCGCCGGCTCCACGGACCTCATGCTGAGGACCTGGATGCTGCTTGCGGAGTCCGCTGGCGAGGGGCGCGCGGCCGTTCACAAGTGGGCGCTGCTCGAGGCGATTCGCGCGGCGCCGTGGGTGAAAGTCGCCAGCGTACCTCGCGAGGAGTTCGCCAATGGCAACGCCTTCTGGGGTCACCGCGGCGCTTTGCAGACCGATCGGCTACGAGCCGTCCATGTGAATTGGATGGATCCGCAACTAAGGCTCGAGTGCATGGCGCGCGCCAGGCTGCTGGCACCTGCCCCTGGCACGGGTGCCCGCGCGGGTGGGCCTTGGTGGAGCGACGCTGGGGACATCGCCACGTTTGACGACGGAGACTCGCTGCGCGTGAGTTCTTGCAGCGATGGCATCGCTGGCGATTCTTATTCGACCCACGCGTGAGGGCTCTGTAATCCCCTGTGCGGGCCAGCAGCTTGCTCATGCGGCGCGCTTGCTGTAACAGTACGTGTTTCATCGGCTCCATAATATACAGGAATTGCTGTCGACAGTGTCGGCGGAGTCTTGCCCACCGTGCGCGCGCGTATTCGAAAAGTAAGGCGGGAAAGCACAACACATCTCAGGGAGGGGGGAATCATACCTCGATTCGTTTGTAATCCTGTGGCTAATCGCGGGGGTGTATGGGGGAGAAGGAGGAGGGCAACGCTGGCACCTCAACTGAGCGGAGCCGCCATTCCACGAACACGCCATGCCATATCACCGTCGCCGCGTTCAGCGGTGGCCGAGGCCGAACAATGGAACTCGAAAGGGGCTGTTTTTGGCCTCGCCACGATGCTTAAGATGTTCCAACCTACTTTAGCTTCGACCAACAGAAAGAATTTCGAGCACCGGGAATGTACCGAAACTGTAGGGTTTTCACGTGTCGGGCCCCGGGGGGTGATACACGTTCGACACTGTTTCGATATTCTTCTGGGTGCTCGAAATTGTTTCTGGGACGTGGTCCTCAATTGCGATGGGAGCAACGTAGCACGATGCGCTCGAGGAGGAGCGTCAGCACCGCCTGGCTTTTCCCCGTCCCCACCGGGCCATGGCATCCTGGCCCTGCCAGCTCGCTCTCCTGGGCGGGGATCGGCTCGGCGAGACCCGAAGGAGGAGGCAGGCAGCCCCGCCAAGGTTGGCAAGTCGGCCAGCGGGGCCAAAGCCAGTCAAGTGGGGACGGGGACCGATTAGGCGATGCTCATGATCCTCCTCCTGCCCATTCCCTCCCGCACATCTTCCTCCTCGTCGTCGTCGTCATCCTCCTCCTCCTCCTCCTCGTCCTGCTTCTCCTCCTGCTCCGTCGGGGCAGTGCAGGCACTTTGACCGACGCCCAGGCCTCCTCTCTCGTCCCCCGAGTGAGGGCGTCGTTGCGCTGCGGGCGGCTCGTGCGGTGAGAGGAGCCGTGGCACTCTGCAGTTATATGTCAGGAGGAGGAGGTGGAGGAGGACGAGGAGGATGGAGGGCGTAACAATCTCGCAGGAGGAGCATGAGGGAGAGGAGGAGGGGGCGGAAGAGGAAGTGGAGGAGGAGGAGGACGAGGAGGAGGAGGAGGAGGAGGAGGAGGAGGAGGAGGGGGAGGAGGAAGAGGAGGAAGAGGAGGGAGGAGGAGCAGGAGGAGGGAGGAGGAGGAGAAGGAGAAGGAAGAGGAGGAGGAGGAGGAGGAGGAATATCTGAAGTTGCTGCATATTTTGAAGAAAGGGTCGGATGATTTTGGAGACGCTCTCGGAGGTCTTCTCTTCAGAGGAGGAGGAGGCCCATTAGGAGGAGGAGGACGAGGAGGAGGAGGAGGCGGAAGAGGAGAAGGGCCTCGATCGAGGGCGAAGGTGCCGTTATTGCCGCTGTGGTCGCTTCGGCGGCGGTGGCCCAGGCCTCCAAAGCCTTGCAGGTGTAACAGCACGATGGGGCCAATCTCCCTCTCGGGCTTACAGGGGACCGTTCCCGTGCGTGCACGGGCCGCCGAGCAGACGATTTATTGTACGCAGAACGGGTCCCCGGGAAGGGGGTCGAGCGTTCGAGAGGCTCGCTGGTTGACAGAAGTGAGGGCGTCGGAGGCCTGGGTCAGCCAGCGATCTGCGTCTGCGGCGGCGCACGGCCGATCCGCGCAGCGATCGGCGCGCGCGCCCGAGCCGCGGCCCGCGGCCCAGGGTGAAGTCGGGCGTGTCCCTCTGCGGGAGGGATATCCCAAACGAGTTCAAGAACAGTCCCGGGACGATTTTGGGAGTATTTTGGAGCATTGCTGGGGTATTTGGTTGACATCTTTCTGAGTTTTCGTCCAACATCCGCCTGCAGGAGGACACGCCCGACCTAAGGCTTGGGGGCGCCCAACGACACGTGGGCGAGGCAGGCCGAGGGGAGTCGCCCGGCCGGCGGCCAGATCGCGGGCCCGCTCCCGGCGATGACCGAGGCCACCCCTCAGAGGGGCCAGCTGTTCGGGGGTCTTCGGAGGCAACCCCTGGGAGGTCAAATTCTGATTTTGCCCTGGTCCGAAATCCTGTTTAATCCGGCTTAATCCCGCTTAATCCCGCTTCACTCGGCTCAATCCCGCTGAATCTGGCTTAATCCTGAATTAGTCCGAGGCCCACTCCGGCGTAACAGCCCCCCAACGGGCTTTAAGCCTCCTCGATCTTTCCGACGAAGACCTGTAGTTGCCTCCTGAGGCCCTGAGCCGAAGCAGAAGACACGCCATAGAAACTTCTGGCGCTCCGCGCGGTTTCTCGGAGGACACGCCCGACCTGAGCCCAGGGGCGGCGCGCCCGCGGCCCGCGCCCGACGAGCCGCGCCCTCGGCCGTGACCGCGAGGGCCTCGGCGGCTGCGCGGAGGGCAGCGGCGTGCGAGCCTCCGTTGTAGGACCCCTGCGCTCAGGGCCGCGGGGCGCTGGTGCAAAGACTCCAGCCACGCGCAGAGGGGTGGGAGGGGAGGGGGAGGGCTTCTCAGAAGCACCCCTGCTTCTCAGAAGGCGCGGGCCTCATCTACAGATTCAAGGCCGGCGCCCTCTAAGAAGCAGCCTCCTTCTAAGAAGCCCTCCCCCTCCCTCAATCCCCTTGTGCGCGCCGCCAATGGGATCCCTGCGCTCGAGGCTGCGGGGCTTTGGTGCAAAGGTGGCGCGGAGCGACGCTCGACATGACATGAGTCGGAGAAGAAAAAACGCCTTAAGCATAAACTTTTTGACGCTCCGCGCGGATTTCTTGGATCCGCGCCTGGGCCCCCCCCCCAGGCGGCGTTTCCGGCGCCGCCCCTGGCGCGCCTCGCGCGCCAGGGAGGGGGGTCCAGCGCAGATCCAAGAAATCCGCGCGGAGCGAAAAACAAATTATGTTTCTGGCGTTTCGTTCTTCTTCTATTGGTGCAAAGATGGCGCGGAGCGACGCTCGACACGACATGAGCGATGCCTGTCCGAGGCCTGCGCTGTCGCGGGGTGCTCGGCGGAAGTGGGGCCCCCCCTGCCAGGCTGGGGAGCCTCGCGGAGGTCGGGGTCGGGAGCCAGAAGCCGGCAACGCGCGGAGGAGGAGGAGGAGGAGGAGGAGGAGGAGGAGGAGGAGGAGGAGGAGGAGGAGGAGCAGGAGGAGGAGGAGGAGGAGGAGGAGGAGGAGGAGGAGGAGGAGGAGGAGCAGGAGCAGGAGCAGGAGCAGGAGCAGGAGGAGGAGTAGGGGTGTGAAGGGGGCGGCATAGATGGATCGTTTTTTTCTTCTGGGGATCCAAGCAGGGGCTAGGCGGGCCCCCCCCCCAGTGGGCCCTACCCACAAAGCCCCCTCCCCGTACCTCCCCGTAGCCAACCTCACCACCACCCATCAGTGGTACCGAGATGATTGCTGTTTTCTTCACTCTCATCGCCATCGTCATCATCATCCTGCGGGCCTGTTCCCCAGTCTGTGCTTGCACTGAAGGGGTCCTGGCAGACATGACAGGACTCTGCGAAAAGACCGCGCCGATTTCTGTAGGCGGCCGTGTTTCCGGGTTCCCTGGTTCCTGGTTTTCAGTTCCAGCGAAAGTGCCGGGCCGATTTTGGTGGGCGACTGGGCCCGAGCTCCCAGTACCAGGTTCTGGGCCGACTTCGCTGGATGGCTTTGTTCCCTGGTTCCCTGCTGTTGCGTTCCCGGCTACTAGAGAGGAGCTGAGAGCAGAGAGTACATTTCAGCAAGCAGTTAGAGAGCAGAGAGAGAAAGAGAGAGAAAGAAAGAGAGAGAGAGAGAGAGAGGATCAACAACAAGAGGAGACTGCTTTGTCAGGGTCCAGCGATCACCTGGGGAATCGGGCTCGCCCCCTCCCCCTCCTGGATGACCTGGCCTTGTCAGTTGCGCAGGTCGGGAAGCGGGGGGCTGCGCCAGGGAATCCCTACGAGATACCATGCGTACTCCCATGGCTGCCAGATCCTTATCAGACCCCTATCAGATCCTTGTCCGACCTTTTTCAGATCCCCATCATGCTCCCATCATATACTTATGGCTACTTTCCGCAATCCCGTTCGCTGCGCCGGGGTATCCCATCCTGATCTGTATGCCAATGCTAGCTGTTCGCACCGATTTCTCGGTATCACCAGACGGCGCCGACATCGTGGCAGCATCTCTACAGGCTCGGAATGGTTCTCTCCTAACGCCGCCACACGCGCCCATGCCGATTCACAGCGTGTTGGGAATGTCCACGCCAACTCCGCCCGTCATTCTTGCAGCGGAGTCGTGCTGTATGTGGACCACAGTGGGTCTTCATTGCACTCAGTGCCATTCTTTTGGTTTTTTTTGCCCAGCACGACCTGTATCAATCTTCAAGTCCGTGTCGAGGAAAACGAGGCACGTCCCCATGTGTGTTTGCGATGGTTTCTCTTGTGCAGTGTGCCAGTCCGTGCCACGACCGCAAATCCTAAGGACGTCTCAAGCGGAACAGGGCCGACACCACGCCAAACCAGGGCTAAACCAGGCAAGCTGCGAGGACGTCTCAGGCGAAACTGAGTCCACACCAGGCCAGACCAGGTCCAAACCAAACAAAGTTCGAGGACGCCTTAGGCGAAACTGGGTCCAAACCATGTCAAAAGAGGGCCGAACCAGGGCAAACTTCCAGGCCACCTCAGGCGAGACCGGGCCCAGGCCAGGCCAAACCAGGGGGCCAGACCAAGCAGATGTTGAGGATGTCGGGCGGGGCGCGCGGCCAAGCCGGGCCCAACTGGTCGCAGATTTTGAGGACGTCCTAGGCAGAATCTCCCGAAGCAGCTTCCATCCACTCACCCCAATCACGTTCCAAGGGAAGGAGTGGATCACCCCAGGGCCTCCCCGCAGGCGGAAGCCCGTCGAGAACTTTCTGGGGAGGGCGCTTGGACCGCGCGTCCGCGGATGTGGTCGGAGTTTGGCGCAGAGGCCTTCCTTTGTCTTTCGGGTGCTGTTGGGGCTCCTGGTGTGGCGTTCGGAGAAGTACTTCCGAGCCTGTAAAGAGATAGAGAGCAGAGTGAGTCCAGAGGGTAGATCGAGTGAGCAGATAAGTAGCATAACTAGTGATAGGGAGCGAGGGAGAGAGAGAGAGAGAGAGAGAGACAGAGGGATAGAGAAAGACACGGAGTATATATATAGAGAGAGAGAGGGAGAGAGACAGAGAGAGAGAGAGAGACCGAGTGTTTGCGACCACTGTCAGGGAGAGAGAGAGAGAGAGAGAGAGAGAGAAAAAAAAAATCACTTAGCGAGGGAGGGATACCACGATATATATATATATATATATATGTGTACATGTACACATAGATAGTAGACAGAGCAGATATTTCGCACATTAATTGTGGCACTTTTCACGGCGGGCAGGCGTGGAACACATCAGGAAATTCAAACACATGTTTCTGTTTTGCACTTGTGTAGTGTAGTTTTCTAGGTCGCATTGAACAGGGCATCTCGGAGAAGGGTTGGCACGGAAAGAGGGGATATACAGGCGTGGGCGAGAGGGGTGGGATGAAGAGAACAGGTTGGATGAGGGAGGAGATGAGGGGGAGGAAGGGGAGGGGAGGGGAAATGAGGGGAGGTGGGGAAGGGCGGGGATCTGCGAAGGGAGAGGTGAGGACGAAAAGGTGCGGGAGGTTGGGGGGGAATGGGGCATTGCCCTCCCCTCCAGCCCGCTCACCGCACAACCGCTCGCAGCCGCGGGGGCCGGGGTGCTTTTTGTTTTTCGGGTCCGGATGCAGGAGGCATGATGCCTGGCATGGACATGGGCATGATGGGCGGCATGCCCGGCATGGGCGGCATGCCCGGCATGGGCGGCATGCCAGGCATGGGCGGCATGGACGGCGGCATGATGGGGGGCATGGGCGGCGGCATGATGGGCGGCATGGGCGGCGGCATGGGCGGCGGCATGGGCGGCGGCATGGGCGGCGGCATGGGCGGCGGCATGGGCGGCTGCATGGGCGGCATGGGTGGCGGCGGGGACTTCGGCGGGTGCGGCGGCGGGGGCGGGGGCAGCGGTCCGGGGGGAGGGGTCCCTCAACGCCTGCTGCCCTCGCGGGGCCTGCCCTCCTTCCCTGGATCTCCGCCGCAGGCCGCGCCCTTCTGGCAGGGGGCGGGCGAGCTCGGGGGCGGCCAAGAGGGGGTCGATGGCCAGGGGGGAGTGGACATCATGGCCTGGCCCGTGGCATCTCCCCAGCTGGCACGGCGCCCCGCTCTGTTTCCCTGCGCCCCCGGCCCCCGCCCGGGCCGCGCACGTGCCGCCGGCCACGACCCGCGCCCCCTCCCTCTCGGACGCCCCCCTCCTGGCCGCCCCCCCGGCGAGCGGGGGTCCGCGGGGCGGGGGGCGGGCCACGGCGAGGGCCCCTCAGCACCCCATATAGCGCCGCGAGCTGGGCGGGGCACGGGGCGCCCTCGGGGGGCGAGCGGCGGGCGCCGGGGGCCGCGGCCCGTCCTCGGCGCGCGGCCCCCCGCGGAGAGGGCCGGCTCCCCGGGGAGCCGGCCGGCAGGTCAGAGGAGGAAGAGGTGCGCGTTGACGGCGTCTCGTTCTTCGAAGGTTCTTTGATTTTTCGGGGGGGCCAAGGTCCTTCCATTCCGAATGGTTCTATCGGGGGCCTCTTCCTGGCCAGTGGGGGGCCAGGAACAGTCAGAAACGAGCGCAATCAGAGATGAGCACGATTAGAAATGAGCGACGTGTACCCAGACCGCCACCGTTCCCTCGCTTTCCCTCTCTTGGGCCTCCCGGGAGGCCCTCGTCGCCGCCGATGGGTTCGCCTCGAGATTCGGATCAGAGCGCACCCCAGGAGAGGTCCAGGGAGTAGCGGCATCGGTGCCTTTCGTCATGCAGTAGCTGCGCGTCGTGGCGTGCCTGTAGGCCTGCCAAGCAATGTTCTAATAACATTGTGTGGTTTCCACGACATGTTCTTAGAACATTTCTGGCTGGGACTGTCTTGTTGGGCTTGTGTTCTAAGAACATTGCCTTTGTTCTTAGAACTTTTTGGGGCTCTATAAGAACGTTTCGTTGTAGGCCTGTAGGAATGCCGGGTCTGTCGGTCCCTGCTCAATTTTGGTTCCCCCAGAATAGGGCCCCCTCGAGTACGTTCTGTTTCGAGCCAGGTCGACCCGGGAGCGAGACCCAGGGTCGAGGGTTGCTCAGGGTGCCCCTGGCCCAGGGTGCCCCCAGCTTTTCGCTCGATTTTGGAGTCCCTGGGGCCCCCTGGGCCTCGTGAGGGTGGCTCTGGATCGAACGGGGCTAGGACGAGGATAAATCCCTTCCAGAGCGTGCCGGGACGCTCTCCGAGCGTTCCAGAACGCTCCAAGAACGCCGCGGCGCCCGATACATCCTCCGGAGCCGCCGGATCCCAGAGATTCTCGACTCGGGCTCCCCCGAATCTATCCTCGTGCTGGCTTCGTCTCGTCCGCAGGCCGCAGGGGCCTGCCTGGACATCATGGGGGCACCCTGGGCCAGGGGCACCTCCAGCAGCACCCGACCGGGGGCCCCGGAGGCGCGGGGGAAGGGGGGCGCCCCTCGCGCCTCTCTCGCGGCGGGCCGCCCCCCCCGGGGGCGTGGGCGGGGGGCAGCCCGTCCGTCGGAGAGGTGGCGACGACAAGCCGAAGGGGCTGAGCAACCACGGGCTGAACGTGCAGACGATCAACGACCAGGAGGTGAAGGTGCAGGCGCGCGCGCGCGGCGGGCGGGCGGGCAGGGGGGCTGCACCCCTCGCCTCGTCTTCCGCCTCCGCCCCGCTCTCCCTGTCTCTGCCTCCCCGTGCTCCGCCTGCTCCTCCCTCCGCGCCCTCCTCCTCCTCCTCCTCCTCCTCCCGTGTCGCTGCCGTCCTCCTCGTCGTCCCTCCTCCTCGTCCTCCTGCTCCTCCCGTTGCGCTCGCTCCTGCTCTTCGCCGTCCTCGTGCTCGTGCTGGCCGGTGTCGCCGGCCTCCCGCGAGTAGCGGGCTGCGGGTCCGCTGGTTCTCTCCGTGTGGCCGCGGCCCTCGTTGGCGGGCCAGGGCCCGGAGGGGAGGACGGGCCCGGGCCACGAGGTGGAGACAGGCGCAGAGAGGGGACGACACGAGGAGGAGAGATGCAGGCCCCCACGGGCAACTGCGAGGGCGGACGATGAGGCCCTCCCGGCCTCCTGAAGCGCCCGAGAGCTCTCCATGGGAGGACACGGGGGAGGAGGGCGGCAGGGAGAGAGGGAGCCCTCGGGGGAGGCTTCCAGGGCGGGGGTGGCCCCTGGCGTGGAGCCGTGCAGAAGACGGTCCAGCACCCCTGCCTCCCCCCACCATCTGCTCTCTGCTCTCCTCTCGTCGTGCTCTTCCCCCTCCCGGCGCGGCGGCAGGCGGCCACAGGCCTCGCGCTCAGCGCGAGCTGCCGCTGCGGACGTCCACGTCCAGGGCGCTGCCGTGGCGCCGCGGCGCGGGCGGCGCGGCGCACAGCGCAGCTCCCCAATTCAAAGGAGGAAAACCCACTGGGACCGGACAACTAGCGTTTACTAAACGGCCCAGGGCGTTTACTGAACAGCCCTGCCCTGTTCGATTCCTTCTCTGGGCGCTTTTACCAAACGACTTCGCGTGTCGGGGTGGTGACTACGACGGTGTTTTTGTGTTTGACCTCTACCAATGTTCAGGCGATCGCAAACATGGATCAAGGTGGCGAGGATTAGGGACGGGTCCCGTTTCCATGGGAAATCGCGCATTTCCGCCGCCGAGCGAGGCGGTACCGGCCGCATCAAATCCATGGAACGCTGATCCATGTGTGCGTGCCCCCGAAAGGTACCCGACTGAGTCGGGCGACACCTCTTGGCGCTTGCGTCTGCGCTGGTCGCCCGAGTCGGCTCGTCAAGAAGAGTGCTGGCGCCCCCCAGAGGTCTTGGTGGCTGTGGGGTGCCGGCGAGCAGTGGAGGTTGTGGTGGGAACCGTAGGTCGGAGGGTTCTGGGTGGAGGGTGGGCGTCGCTGGATGCAAACTTCGCGGGGGTTGGGGGGGCGCGGCGCCCGGTCGTGTTGGGTGCTCGCCGTCAAGTGGCCTCTGGGGGGGAGACTGTTTGGCAGCCGCGGCCAGAGTCGTCGGCGAAGCGCGCCTGAGTGAACCGCACACGCCGCGCAGCACGGCCCTCGTGGCGGCCGTCGGGGAGGACGAGGGGACCGCCGCCAGCCTCTTCGCAGGGTTTCCAGAGCAGGAGTGCATATCAGGAAGTGTTCGGGATACCTTGGATGCCATCGCCCTCCAAGAGAAGCGGGTTGCGCTGTGGTGCTGCTGCGGTGTGGAGGGGAGGTGCGCAACGGAGCAGTGGTGCGCTGTTTTGTTCGCCACCTGCGGCGAGACCAGGAGCAGGTGTACCACGGCCCAGTGCGCCAGTGTGAGTCTGTTCCCTGCCGTTGTCGCCGCGGTGGTGGCCGAGAGAGTCGGCCACGAGGTCGACGTCGGCGGCTGCTGCCAGGCGTCTTCCCGTGGCCGCGAAGCCCATGCGGCGGACTGCCGCAGTGAGCCTTGCCATTGCGTCGGGGGGGGCGAAAACTCGCCTCCGTACGTGCCGGCGTCTGGGGCGCGGCTATATTTCGCGGGCAGGTGCGGGTTCGACGCAGGTGCGCCGAACCCGCCCCTGCGTCGAGGGCTGGGCGGGGCCGGTCCGTGCTCGTCCTCCCCGTCTTCCTTGTTCTCCTCTTCGGGTGTATGGCGGCATCTTTGATGCACGTTGGGCTTACTCTGGTCCTCCTCCTCCTCCTCCTCATCCTCCTCCTCCTCATCACCATCACCATCACTTCCCAGTCCCCCTCGCCCTCCTCTCTCCTTGCTCCTCCCTCCTCCCTCTTACGCATCTTCCCGCTCGCTTCTCCCTCCTTCCTCCTTCCTCCGTCCTTCCCTCTCCTCCTCCTCCTCCTCCTCCTCCTCCTCCTCCTCTTTCCTCCTTGCCTTCCCACCCTCTTTCCTCCTCACGCCTTCCACCTCCCCCTTCCCCTCCCCGTCTGTCCCCTCACTCCTCATCGCCGTCGTCCTCCTAAGTTTTCGCCTCCTGTGAGACCTTCGGGCCTCCAGAAGTTCAGACAGGGCCAACAGTGTCAAAACACCTCGCTCCTCGCTCCTCTTCCTGTGGACCCCTTGCCCTCGATCGAGGACCCCAGCGGGCGCGTCCTGAGCCAGTTCCAGCGGTACGCCAAGTTCACGGATGCGCCCTGGGGCCTCATTGGCGGGGCGGTGATGTCGACGGCACTGACGACGCAGACGACGTAGACGACGACGTTGACGACGTTGACAGACGATATGAACGACGTGGACAATTTGGACGACATTGACGACTTGGACGACGACGACGACTTCGGCTTCGGATTCGACTTCAACAACAGCTGTCACGACGAAGGTTGAACTCCGTACCTCTTCTTGGAGCTCGTTCGGGCCATGATTTCGAGGCTAATCGTGGCGACGAGGGAAATCTGGATACGCCCAGAAGTATCCCCAATCACAGCAAGCAACTTCACTTTAGCTTCACCCCTCTGACGACGACGCAGCCGACGTGAAAACGACGACGACGACACGGACGACGATGACGACAACGTTCGAGCCCCAGCCATCTTTCCGGCCAGGATCTCGATGCAGACGCAGCCGTGGCGACGAGGGGGACCCGGGGAGTCGCAAACAACATGGCCACAACGCCAAAGATTTTAGAGCCTCAATCAGGCGATCCTGAACAAAGATTCAGGGGGCGTGGATTAGCGACGGGGCCCATTTCCATGGGAAATCGCGGTTTTCCGCCGCCGAACGAGGCGGCACCGGCCGCATTCTGGGGAGAGCGCCTCCCCCGATCCATGGATTTGGCGACTGCGCGCCAAATCCATGGATCGCTAATCTATGTTTGCGAGCTCCCGACAAGGTCTTAGAGCCTCAATGCGTGAATCTCGACCCGCGGCGACGATGGCGGCGGCGACGAGGATGCCGCACGCCCAGGCGCCCTTCCCCGCGCCCATCCAGGAGGCCCTGGGCCGCGCGGGCTTCCCGGCGCCTTCCCAGATCCAGCAGTATTGTTGGCCCCTGGCGATGGAGAAGAAGGACGCGGAGGAGGAGGAGGAGGAGGAGGAGGAAGAGGAGGAGGAGGAAAGGATGCTGGTCAGGATGATGATGAGGAAGGCAGGTGGAGGACGAGGAGCGAGCAGGCGGAGGAAGACGAGGAGAGGAGAGAGGACGGAAGAGGATGGGTGATGATGGGGAGGATCACGGGGAGGCGGAAGGACGTCATTGGAGTGGCCGCGACGGGCAGCGGCAAGACCATCTCGTTCCTTCTCCCAGCGTTCTCCAACATAATCGAGAAGAACATGGGCCCCCGGGACGTCGCCCTGCTCGTCATCGCGCCCACCCGCGAGTTGGCGATCCAGATCCAGGATCCGAATGTCACTGCATCCCTTCCACTGGTCGGATGAGGAGTTGGAGGAGGAGGAGGAGGAGGAGGAGGAGAGAGAAGGGAGAGGAGAGGATGGAGGAGGAGGAGGGAGGCGGGAAAGAACAATACTGAGGAGACAGTCAGAATGGGGATGATGATGCTGCTGCTGATGATGATGCCGATGATGGTGCTGCTGCTGCTGATGGTGATGATGCCGATGCAGATGATGATGACGATGCTGCTGCTAATGATGATGATGCTGATGATGATGATGATGCTGCTGCTGCTGATGATGATGATGATGATGATGATGATGATGCTGATGATGATGATGATGACGATGGGGGAGGGAGTAGGACGAGTGGGAGGAGGGGGAAGACGGGGACCCCCCCGGGGGAGAAAGGGAAGGAGGGGGTAGGGATATTGTGATGGTGATGATCATTACTTCACATTTTTCTCTCACCTTTGCTCTCACCCTACACCCTACACCCTTTCAGATTGTATTTGATTTTCTCTCGAACACTCCATGCCGGTGAACACTCGCCAGCCGGGCACTCCAGTGCGTGGAGTACTTGGCAGCTCATCCTCTGAGGCAACGCCGGTCGAAGTTGTGCCCCTTGCCACTCCCGCCGACAAGAGGGCCCGCCTGAGGAGCCCCCTGCACGAGATGGACGATGGCTTGCTCTCGGACGACGAGGAGAAGGATAAACAGCTCGGGAACCCTTTTCGGCAGCCGGACTTCTCGAATGCCGACGCCGCTACAGGAGCTGCTCTACCGAGTGGCACGGAGGGGGGTCCGTTGACGGAGCCGGTTACGATGTCGGGCATCGCGGCTCTCTTGAAGCAACAGTTGACCCCCGTAACGTCAGTGGTGGAGCGCTTGCGGGAGGATTTCGAGAAGCTGAAGCTCGAATTCACCACTCTCGGCGAGACGATGTGCAACCGGCTTGCGGACGTCGAGGCGAGCATCATCAGTGCCGAGGCCCGCGTGGACAAGCTGGCGAACCTATACGAGGAGCTGGTGAAGAAGGCGCCCCTTCCAACCGACGACGTCGGGACCATGGTTCGCAACTACATCGAGGAGTACATGAAGCAAGAGGGCGAGCACGCGATCATGAAGAAGGGCGCGAACCAGGACCCGACCGTAGGCAAGAGGACGGTGACGGCTGTGATCGGTAATCTGGAGGGCCTCTCCGACCTCTCCCAGGCGACGGCATGGTTGCAGGAGCGATTGAAGTATTTGGGAGCCCCTCCCCCAATGAAGGTATATTCGAAGGGAGGTTACTCAGGCATCATCTTCGCCGAGTTCGGGACGACGCTGGAGCGTGACAGCGCGGTCGATTTCCTGCGGGGCGCTGGCCTTCGGAGCGGGGGGAAGCAGATCTGGGCGAACCAGGACCGGTCCCCTATCGAGCGCGCCGCCCGAAACTTCTGTTTCGGCCTGAAGTACATTCTCAAGAACACTTGGGAGGTGCCGCACACGATCGCGGTCGCCGACGGGGCTCCCTACACCGTCATTGTTGGCGGGGAGCACGCTTTGACGGAGAACGTAGTGAAGAACGGAGTCGAGTACGTCTGGCAAGGGGAGTGGGAGTCATGGGCGGAGCTGCGTGGGCATCCACTCGTCAAAGAGCTCCGGAAGAAGTCCGACGATCTGGTGTCCCGCGCGGCGAAGGGCACGAAAGGCGCCAAGGGCACCGCGAAGGGCGACTACAAGGGGAAGCAGACCGGCGCCACTGGGCGCCCAGGGGAATAGGAAATGCCCCCCTCAAATGTTTCACCGGCACTGGCAGTCGGCAGTACTGCCAGTATGAGCCCATATGATTTGCGAATTCACGACAGCATGAATGTACATACTGAGGACGCGGCTGGCCGCGACAGCAGCTACACAGAAAGATTTCGATTACCGTGGTGGGCCGTTACGCCCCTGCAGGAAAGACGTCGCATTTGGATCATGGAACGTGGAAGGGCTGACAGAGTCCAAGATCGCAGAACTCCAAGAGCACATGCGGACCTTCAACATAGATACTCTCGCAATCCAAGAGACTCACAAGCCAGAGTCAACGTATGAGGTCACTGACTCTGGCTTTCTTTTGATTCTCTCTGAAGGCGCGGACGACCAGGGGACAGCGGGGGTTGGATTTCTCATAGCTCCAAGGATACGTACAAGCATCATCGGATTCAGAATGGCGTCGTCGAGGGCGCTTGCGGTGAAGCTGCGCGTTAGCGGGGGCAAGGTGCCGATCTTCAGCACATACGCCCCACGCGGCGGCAAACCACACGAGGTCAGAAGAGAATTTTACCAGTCTCTGGGCACCCTTCCCCGAGACATCTCTGGGCATGGAGGGCCAATACTTCTCGGAGATTTCGATGCGAGGCTGCGCAGGCAATTCCCATGCGATCTACCGCATATTGGGCCGCATGTCTTCGGCTGCCCGTCGGCGCAGCAGGGCCCAAATTCTACTCGCAGTTTGCTGCTGGAGCTGTGTGGGACACGCGGACAACTAGTCAACAGTGCGTTCTTCGCCCACCCGGAGGCGCAAATAACGTGCTACAACATCGGTTCCAAGCCTTCTGATCCAGCTCGCCCAGAACATTTTGGCCAAATCGATTTTCTAGGTTGCCCTGGGGGCCAGCAGTCGTTTGTCAACGATGCTCGCAGTCATAAGGATGCGGCCCTTGCGTCGCGCCATTTCCTGCTCCTCTGCTGCGCGCGCCTGGGTGCTGAGAAAACCACTCGTGAGCGAAACGAGAGGCCGGACTTGCAGGCGCTGTCTTTCGGCAGCGCGGTTGACGATTTCAACGCCGCGTTCTTTGACAAAATGGCAGATTTCGATTCTGACCGGTGTGCTTTGGATGAGTTGAACACAGCGATGGTTGCGGCCTTCAAACATACTTCTGGCGAGTGCCTGCCTACAGTTCCGGCAACTCGCCATCGACCATGGATCAGCAATGCGACTTTGGAGCTGATCGCGCGCGCAGGGGAAGCAAGGAGACACGGCAACTTTGACAGAGAAAAGCGATTTCACGGCATGATCAAAGCGTCGGTCAGAGCAGACAGAGAGAAGTGGCCTGACGATCTCCTCGCATCCGGGGATTGCGCCGAGATCCGGAAACTGCTGAAAGTTTCGGTGGCGCGGCAGGGCCGCATGAAGGGCTCGAGCGGAAGACTGGGTTGACAGCGATCAAAGGGCAGACGCGCTCGCTGATTACTTTTCCAGAGTTCAATGGGCTGTTCGACCCGTGACAGATGTCGAATGCGCTTCCCCTACAGGAGCAGTTCTCCCAGTCCCAGAAGGCCCCGTTCTCCCGGAAGAGGTTCGCAATGCTGCGCGAAAGCTGAGAAGGAACAGGTCTTCTGGAGGCGACGGCATTCCGGGGGAGTTCTGGAAGGCTATGTGCACGCCAGGTACCTCAGCTCTCGAGTGGGCTACATTGATTTGCAACAAGTGCTGGGCCGAGAAGGCCGTGCCCGATGCGCGGCACGAAGCAGTCGTCATCGCGCTGTTCAAGAAAGGCGACTCGGCCGAGTGTGCCAATTATCGGTTAATATCATTGCTTCCGATTGGGCGCAAATTGTACGCCATGGTTCTCCTCGGCCATTTGAAGGGCGCAGGTGCCGAAGACAGAATTTGGGACACGCAGTTCGGATTCTGATTAAAACGCGGCACCACGGACGCACTGTTCGTTGCTCGCAGATCTGATTGAAGACACCTGGAGTTCTCGCTCTCGCAAGCTGGTCCTGCTGGCGCTGGGCTGGGCCAAGGCGTTCGACAGCGTCTCGCCGACCGCCCTGGTGCAGGCGCTCGTCCGCTTCGGCGTCCCCTGGCACTTCGCAGAGGCAGTTCGGGCCATCTGCACGGACAGATCTTTTCGAGTGAGGGGGGCGGGCCAAACGTCCGGGCCAAGGCCACAAGCCTTCGGCGTCTGCCAAGGCTGCCCGCCATCGCCGTTCCTGTTCTCAATCGTCATGACGGTCCTCATGCGCGATGCGAGCCGGGCTTTCCAAGCACACGGCATGACACAAGACGCCCGGATACCCGTTAGTGAACTCATCTACGCCGACGACACCCTTGTCGTTGGAGTCAGTGATGATTACGCTTCCAGGCTGATGGGGGCGATCCACTGCGCGGGGTCCAACTACGGGCTTGCCTTCAACTGGAGCAAGCTGGAAGCTTTGCCTGTCTGTTGCGAGACTGCCTTGACGAAGCCAGACGGCGCCCGCATCCCGAGCAAGGACAGCATGGTCTACTTAGGAGGACTCTTGAGCCCCGCA